GGCCATTTTTCTGCCATTAGCTTTGCATTAGTGGTTCTATTCTTTTTCAGATGTGAATTCATTATATTAATCTCAAAAAAAAAAAAAAAGAGGGCTTGCAAGGCTTGCTTTCAAATACAGATATAAATACTTAGTTAACTGACTGTATCTTTTTAAAGTATAGATAAATGTATTTAGAAAGCTATACTCTGTAGTAAATGGAACTTATTAGAATTAAATATCGAAGCTTTCAGTCTTCTTGTAGCCACGGTCAAAACTACCATATAAAAATGCTATACCTTTTTTTTGTATTAGTCACCGTCAAGGAAAAGTATTTTTCCCCAAGAGGAGTGGTGGCAGGAATTTGATTTCACTGAAACTGTAGGAAAAACACAATGGGGAGTGCTGGGTATGAAGTCATTACTTCGAGAAATGAGAAGGAATTTAGATGTAAGTGGTGAGAGAAGAAAGTTGAGGGAGGGAGTAAATAAATAAATCAATATAAATAAATGTTTAAAAATCCAAAGCAAAGGATCGTCAGGTGATGGGATTCTCAATGAAGTCTAAGCTGTAGTTCCATTTTGGAGTTGTTGGGGCTAAGGATGGATCACCAGTTACTTTGGCAAGCTGAGGGATAACCTGAAAAATGAAATTGGAGAAGATTACAAATGATATGATATAATACATGTCCAAAAGTTGCTTCACAAAGCCAGACTCCTTCCATACGACATGAGACTCATGGGTCCTTAACTCATTTCACCTCTGCACGTTCCTGCGCAGACTAGGTGTGAAGCGCCGTACTTTGCCATCCTTTTCAGCTGTCCAGTTGTGGTCTGAAATATTGATCTCTGGGGCTAAGCTGCCTCAGAAGACTAGTGCAGGGGCAATTGTCCCTTTTCAAATGCCATTTAATGTTTCAAATGTCCATTTTAAAAATGAGCAAATGTGAAGTTAGTCCCCAGATTAATATTGAAAAACGTAACTATTTAATAAAGTCTTAATTTTTTTAGGCTGATAGGCTGTTGAAGAAGTAGAAGGGAGTTAATAAATTATTGGAATTAACAATATTAAACTATTTTAAGTCTGTGTAGTGATTGTTTCTTCAAAGTTCATGTGCTGTGATTTAATTATAATTTTTGTAATTATTTTCTCATGCATGCTAATTTAAAAAGCTGAGATACAATTAATTTGTAGGTATTTTAACTCTAAGATTTTTAGTGTGTAAAACTAACTTCCTCGTGGGATATATACATGAGACAAATGAGAAGGCCTCTGGCTTCCCCACGATAGTTGCTGGTAGCTTGGACTTCTTGGCCTTGGACTATGTAATGGTGCTTCTGATTTGGTTTCACAAGGAACACGTTTCTTGTCTTCGAGTGTTGGAACCGTCCACACCAAATAATTTTCAATCCGAATAGCCTTCTTTGGACCAACTCTGTTTATTAAGGTTTACCTTGGGATTAAGGAGATAGTGTATTTTCCTGAAACAGATTTGCCTGGGGAAGACAAAGAAAATTCATAGCAATTACAATAACTCTAAGAACAGGAGCTCACATTTATTGAGATCCTACCAGAGCTCAGTAGTCTACATGCTTTCTCTCTCTGTCTTCTGTGAGGACTGCCCAGTACAGCCTCCTTTGCATGGTGATTTATGTCTAAAATGCCATTTCATTTGAGTAAAATATTAAATAATTTAGATTCTCTTTTTCTTTTAGTATGTTGAAACATGAGTATAGCTCTTTATTTTTTTAAATATATTTTTAAAGCAGTTTTAGAGGTTCACACACCAAAATTGGGTGGAAAGGACAGAGAATTCTCATATACTCCTTGTGCACCCCTCCCCACCCACCCAAGACATCCGTACTGTCAGCAGCTCTCACCAGAGTGGTACGTTTGTTACAATTGATGAACCTGCATTGACACATCAGTGTTGTCCAAAGTTCATAGTTTACATTAGGGTCCATGCTTGATGTTATAAACCTCTTGTTAAAGATGTAGTTTTGCAGTATTGAGTATCAAGGGTTCAAGGTTTGTCCAGAGCCACCAACACTGCTAACTAGGTTCTGAATAAAAACTTGGAATATGAGCGATTACAAGTTTGACAGAACATGTACGAAACATTTTTTTTCCTCTCCAGGTTGTATACCAGAAACCAAAATTGAAAGTATAGTGTTACTAAAATAAGTAATGATGATAGAGGAAGCCTCTGTTCTTCGAGTATTTTACCTGAATGGTCATTGATTAAAGGGAGATAATTCTGTTTATTTCTAGTCTTACTGAGGGATGAATAAGAATTTATTCCTAAATTAATACTTGTGCTTTTAGTATCTAAAATGCTCATAAATTAATTAATAAGGATTTTGGATTTGATTATTTGGTAAAATGGATTACTTGCATGGCTCAGTAGTCTTTACATACTTTCCCCATCTTTCATGGTTCTTTTATTCTTCTACAGAGACAGATGTAAGACCAAATCCACTTATCATTTAATTATAAGTAATGTCTTACAAATATGTTCATCTTTTTACCCTGGAACTCCATTTTTCATAATTCATTATAGGGAAATAATCCTAAAAAATATTCTTTCAAAGCCCAGTATGTCCTTTCTGGCAGTATTTATAAAAACTGAACTCTTAAACAATATAATCCTTTTTTATTTCGGAGATGAGCAGTGTCACAGTGAGTCTGACGGGGGAGAGGGGTGCGAGGTTGCTGCCGTCTCATTCCCCTTTTTAATCAGAGGAAAGGATGCTCGTATGGGGAAGAAAGGAAATTTAAGAGGCAGCACCAAGTATTCCCTGCTCAGATCTTGAAATTGCCAATATTGTTAGCGGGTCCTCTTTGGGTTTTTGGAGGCATAGATATCAAGGAGCCTTGTATTGAAAAACGAGTGTTACCTGTCATTGAACTGAGATCTGGGGCTAGCGCCGGCCTCGTAGTGTACAAGGAAGGAAATCAAACTGGGGAGGGCCCGCCAGACGGCAGCAGGCCCTTTTCTCGTCACAGTGGGCAGGGGAGTCAGTCTTTTTATATGTATTTCCCACTGGGGGCTTTAAATGAATGGTGTTCAGTAAGTTTATTGATTTGTTATTATTAATCAGGCCTTGATCTAGTTCAAGGGGTTTGGAGGACAGTGAATGGTGACAGCCTGGTCTTGAACCTTTCTGCTCACACGCCTCCAAAAGTCGTAAATGCAACAGAGAGAGCAAATAAAAGCACGTGTGATCCACACTCTCAGGAGCATCAGGAAACAGCAGTTCGCCGGTGGTTACAGAAAGTGGTGCAGGGGAAGCTTAAAAGAGGTTTAAGAGACTGTTAAAAAAACTAGAGGGGGACGGAAGACAAAGCACAGAGAAAATCACCGCAGAAAGAAAAAGCTGGGCCTCCATATAGTTCCCAGCACTGACTACAAGAAAGGAGATCAAAAGTGAGCGGGACTGAAACTGGCAACCATTGGGCAGCATCGCTTCTGGGAGAGATTCCGATATATCAATACTATAGAGAAGGGATGCTACCCCTTGAAGACATGGCAGTGAAAGTAGAAAAGGAAAGAAAAGGGAAAAATTAAGGATTCAGTAGAAACAAGAAACACGACACAGTAAACCCTCCCCTTTCTTCCACTAGCACCAGAAATAAAAACTGCATAGAAGAGGGAAGAACTGATGGAAAATGCCCCTCAAGCTAAGAACCCAGTCCAGTGAGTGAATAGGGATAAAACAAAATGGCCCACATCACTGCAAAACTGCTGTAAAAGATCAGAAAATATACATCAGTGTATTTATGCTGATAAAAATGCTTTTTAAAAAGCAGCCATGAAATTAAAGAAAACAGAACACACACTGTAGTCAAAATTAAATTTTAATTCAGGCGCTACATGAAACAAATTTTAAAAACCACCTTGAATTGAAAATATAAATTCTAACAATAGAAATGAACAAAAACCAAAGTGAAGTGAAATCAGAGTTAATTGAACTCCTGGGAAATATAGAAGAAAAGACAAAATCAAATCAGAAACAAAGGCTAAATTATGTGGTGTCCAAGAGAAAATATATTCAAATGACAGGTGACCCAATATATTAATATTAACATTAAATTTAAATGGTCTAATATCAGTTAAAAGTTAGAGATTGGCAGAATGGTTTCAAAAAACCACATGACCCAACAACACGCTGTCTATAAGAAACTCATTTCATATATAACAATATCGGTAGACTTAATGGTACACTATATAAACACTAATCAAAAGCAAGCTGGAGTAGCTATATTAATATCACACCAAACAGATTTCAAAGCAAAGAAAATTATCAGAGACAGAGAGACATTATATTTTTGATAAAGGGGCCAAATCACAAAGAAAACGTAGCAATCCTAAATGTATGTAGAGTAAACAACAGAACTTCAAAATACATAGAGCAAAAACTGGTAGAACTTAAATGAGAAATGGACAAATCCCCAGTCACAGTTGGGGATGTCAACACTCCTCTCTTAGCCATTGACAGAACCTGTCAACCAGCAGGACCTAATGGACAGTTCTAGAACTCTCCATTCAACATCAGCAAAATATACAGTTGTTTGTGTGGAAAATAATACAATAATTAATAAATAATAACGGGAATAAACTGCATTTGTGTACTCACAGTGGTAAACCTACTTTTGCCCCATCCTGTACATTGCATACATTTGTCACATATACCTGGATAAACCACATCCTGGCCGATAAAACAAAGCTTAATAAATTTAAAAGAATTGAAATCACACCAAGTATGTTCTCTGACTGCAGTGGAATCTAACGAGAGATTAATAACAAATAACAGGTGGAATAACTGTGGGAGGGTGTTGGGGGATGGGGAGGTTCATCTGAATGAAGACCTAGTTCCTCTGCCCTTGATCCTGAATTGTTATTGGCTTGGGAAATCAGAAAATAGGTGCATTTCATCTGACAATGTCCCAAAATAATAATGAAACATATCATTTGATTGTTACCAATGATAAATTGACTCTCTGTCCACTTTTTTTTACAGCTTCTTTGTTAAAAGGACTAAAGCATGCTAACATAGTGTTGCTTCATGATATCATCCACACCAAGGAGACACTGACACTTGTGTTTGAATATGTGGTGAGTAAAATAAGAATTCAGATTTTATAATACGCATACAAATCTTAGAGTATTATCAGAAAGTTTGATTTTTTAGGTTGCTATACTGAAATAAGTATTTTATCTGACAACATGAGACTTGTAATTTTGCATAATTTGGGATGATATGTATCGTAAAGAAAAATCCTTAAAAATGTTAATTTGAGTTTTCATCAATTATCTATGTATAGCCTGTTTGTTACTAGGATACACTATAATTTTCAAGTTTATCCAATAAGATTAAACAGCATGACAGTGATCACTCCCTCAATGGAACAGACAAAAAAATGTTTTTTGGGGGATGGAATTTTTAACTTTGTTTTTCAAAGGCATCATTATTAGGGTTGTGTGTGTGTGGAGGTGTGTGTGTAGGAATGCCTGATGCTTACAATTTAGGCTTCATAGGTTTTTTTCCCTCACTTGGTATTTCAGCTATTAATTAAAACTTGCAATTTGCATAACACAATGTAATGATCTTATTGTGTTGAGAGTATTACTGCTACAAGACTTGGACTTGAACTCATAATTAATCTTTCTCCATTTCCCTTAGAAAAACATATGGTATTTGTGTAGCACCACTTCAGCATTTGACTGTGGAATCATGAAATGTAACCATGATAATTAGCATCTCAATTTTCACAGATGGATCTGAGAACATGTAATTTATAAGACACAAATGACATTGGTGGAGACTTCTATTGAGAAGAAGAGCTGTTGGTATCGTGAATATATTAAGATTCCATTTATAATTACCATGCTGCTTTTTTAAAAACTTGAAGTAGTTTTTATTTTTCCTTAAAAATACACAATAGAATGAATATTTGCAACATTTTCATCTTGCTAATAATGTCTGCCTGAGTCTATGTGTCATTTGAAAATTGTTGTCTTATGAAGAAGCCATTCATATTGTCTATTTACATATAAATGATAGATAGATTTGAATAATATGGTAATGTCGCTACAAGGACAGCCAGAGCTGAGCAGTTGAATATATTACATTCTTCCAAGAATGGATGCAGATTCACACGTCAATGCAAATATAATTTCTTTTGTTTAATTGATGATGTTGGAATCAATAATGTATTCAGCTGATTTAGAACTGGAATTTTTGTTTCATCTTTTTCCTGTATGTCTAGTTGCAACATTTCTATTAAATCTAGATTTCTTTTTCCTTAGTATACAACTAACTTTTGTAATGTTTTGTAGAAAAGATATTTCAAAAGTGTACTTGTCCCCTGTCCCAGAATTTGATAATTAAATTAAAAGGAAGAAAATTAGTTTGGCCCCTAAAATTAGTAACAATGATAAACTAACACAAATAATGGGAAAATATGTCTACCAAATCTTAAAATAAAATTAAATATATTTGTGAGGCTAAAAATGTACATAACAGATCAGATGTTACTTGATGATTTTCTGTGGAAGTTGTCACATAAAAGGAAAGAAATTCACTGTGCTGTGAGATTTGCTAACTGATTAAGACTGACTTTTAAACAGTCATTCTTTTTTGTGAGTGAAATTTTCTGTGGTCCCAATTTTTCTGGATACATCCCAGGCTCTCTTAAATCAACCACATAATAGCATCCACGTGTGCAGTCCCAACATGCAAGGTTTCATTCCTAACTTCTCTGCGGGAGGTAAGACATAGATGAACCTGTTTTCTTTTACAGAATGAGGCAAGCTTGTATCACTCATGGTTTATGATTGCCTTGCCTTGCCTCTTCAGTTCTCCCCTCCACTTTATTTCTTTACTTGCCCATTTTTCTTGTCCGTTCTCCTTTCCACCTTTCTTTGTCTCTTTTTTTAATTTATCAGTCCTGTTGCTCTTTCTGTTGAAGCATTTTTTTTGCTGCTACAACTGAAGTTTGTCTGGTTTTTATTTTAAATACAACAATTCAGTGAATATCTGAAATCAGAGTTGGTGCGGGAGTCTTCCCAGGTAGAGTGGCAAAGGTGTGACTTCCCAGTACAAAAATAACTTGGCTGAATATTTCCTGAAGTTGGCATTTTTGTATAGTGCATTGCTTTTTCAGTGCTTGTGGCATGTATTTATACCAATAGCTTGAGGAATATTAATGTTATTACATACTTTAATGGGTTAATTTAATCAGGTGGCTTTCCTCACAAGAAGTAGCAGAAATAAATTCTGCTCTTTTTCTTACATGCTTTATGGCAGTGGAAAGGTAGTAGTAATTTCAAAGCACGAAATGCCTTAGCTGTTAGCGCAGATCCAGGTGAAGAACGTAGGGTAGGAAACGGAAGTGTGCCGTGAGCTCGGGATAATGGTGAAGGATCAGAAAGGGAAATGAAAAAAATGTTTAAGACAAGTATGACTACAACACTAAAGACCAACAACTAAAATTTATTGTTTTCTGCTGAGCACTGTGGTTTACAGTTATTATTACTTTGATGTTCTCAGCAGCCTTGTGGAACTATGAAAATCACCGCTTTATGAAGGAAAAACCCAAAGATTAAAGAGATGAAGTGATTCTCTAGGTCTTGTAGGTTAAGGTAGACTCAGAGCCATTGTACTCTGAATCCTAACTACAGTATTATACCTTCTCTTCATTTTTACAACTTCACTGAGGTTGAGCCTTTGGTTGGAGAGGGAAAAGAAGCCTTCTCTCCCTTCACAACCCCCTTTGCACAGCCGTCTGTATTGAAGGAGGTCTGGAGTGCAGCAAACCCTAAGCACGGTTGAACTGCTTCATAACCTAGTAAGTTTTATAGACTGAGCACAAACCTGGCCATTTAAAATTTTATTTGAATTATGAAGTGTTTAAGTTTCCATAAAGCAAACTTGTAAGTTACAGTATTGTCCCATGCATTTCACCGGAATCTACTTAACCACACACACACACACACACATCCATATTTGCACACACACAATACACACAGAAATCTTGTTAAATAGCAAGCCCTAAAATTAGTATCAAACATTTTAATTCCCTAAACTTGATATTGTTTCAAATTGTTAACATCAAAAAAATGTTGATTTTGCAGTTCCATTAATTAATAGTACCTGGTTTGTTTGTTTTTTTTTTTGAGGGAGGGAAATGAATAAGTTAAACAATGTAAGAAAAATCAGTACATCATACTCATTAAAACCCTAAATATGAAAGAAAAGTAAAATAATTTAAAGTTCATTAGGCATAATTGGACCTTTTCTTTGGATTAGAATTAGTTCAGTATTCAAGGGTTTTTTGAGGGACCTATTTAATTTTAGTTCCACAAGGTAGAAGATGCTTATTTACGATATTTTACACACTGCATAACGTATTTCTTTTCTTTGCTTTAAAAGAGACTTCTAAGCCTAGCTGCTTTATATTATCCCCAGCAGTGACGTGTTAGGCTACAGGAAAGCCTTCTGAGGGCCCGAGTCAGGAAAGAGGCGATGAAAAGGTCATGGCACGGAAGAATACTCGAGGAAATGACTTTGAAGGCCATGATTAAAGTGATTTAGCTAGGCTGTTGTTAACGTCTCTTAAATACTGTGAAGAGCTCCTTAAACATCTGAAATATAGATTCTTATATGTTTTCAAAATGTGTAGCTCTAACGGCCTGCAAGCTGAAGGGCGGGCACACACTGGGCAGGGCGCCACCCCGGCCGCTCACGTCCCTGTTGTGTTGCACGGGGGCCCAGGAGCATCGATGAAGGAGCATCATCGATGGAGGCACGGCTCAATTAGCTTGAAAAGGCAACTGGTTTCATAAAACTCTGAAATATGGTTCTTTCTGTCTTTTTTCTGCATAGGTTTGGGACATGAAAAAGAAATATAAAAAAATAGTGAAAGTGCTAACACATTTCCTTTCCTACTTAACCAGAAAGCTAAGCAATTTAGTTTTTATTTTTTGCCAGAGAAAAATAAGTGCCACATTACCCTATTTAACACCATGCTGAAAAATTTGAAACAGATTCCATAAGTGGAAATAAGAATATTAATAGTAAACATGATTATATAAATATATATTATAATTAGCTAAAGTGCATAACTATTCAGCTTTATTTTAAATGAAATGAGAGCAAAGTATTTGTAGCCACAATTTTCATTACATATTTAATAATTATGTATTAGAAGAAAATGACAAACTTATAGCTAATCATGATATTCATTGGAGCAATCATTTCATTTCTTCTACTGTGCTATATAAACTCATGAAACATCCCAAGTTAATGTGCAACATTAAGTCAAACAAAAATCTGTATTCCACATTAAAAAAAACTGTCACCAAAAGTCATATAAAGTGATTTACATATTACAAAAAAATCACATAATTTATTTTTATGTTGCTTTACATTCTGCAAAGCACTTTCTCATAAATGTTATTCCATTAGATTCCCTTTTTAGCCCTTTTAAGTATGGAAGGCATGTGATACTGTTATCCAGGTTTTTATTGATGAAGAAAAATAATGCTTAGAGAGAATTCAAAACAGATTTACTAAAATCACTCAGATAAGTTAACAGGGTACAGATAAGACTTCTGGCTATGTCTTCCGTGCCTGAAGATTGTTGCATTTCGCCCTGCGGTCTGCTGGCGTTAGCCATCTGCATAGCTCGATGTGAGGGTCTGAGGTATGTGTGATTTTAGGATCTGGAACTCTCAGCTGAAAGTTATATCCTGCCTTTTAACTCCATCACACAATCTACCTAATTGTTTGGCTTCTCTCCCCCATACATCTTGATTCCTAAATCTATGAAGAATGCTTTAATTTGCATGATTTTATGACACATCTGTTCTCAAAAACTGCAACTCTCCATCAGTATTCTGGTTTCCAGATTAAACTATCCTGGAGCAATTGAACATTTCTCTGCTTTTCTATGAGAAAAAAAAAACAACACGTATACGTGCACATGCTCATGCACATACAGTTATTAAACAGGGACGATCAGGGAAGGCCTTGCTGAAAAAGTGAGAGGTGTTCCGGGGGCGGAGGGGGAAGACACATGTTCTAGGCAAGAGCCTTCCGAAGAGAAGGCTGT